ACATCATACTAACCTACCAACACTGTGATGTCGATATGTAAAGCTCTTTGTCCAGAAGAGACGCTAACTAGTTCCCGAGGTGTGAAGATGTGTTTAGGCACGTTCCGTGTTCACAAAAGGGGACGAAGGACCAAACTCTATACTATGTACTCTAAATATTCCAGTGTAACTAATATGTGAATATTCAAATAAAGTGAATGTGTGTGTGTTTTATAAAGTTTTTGCGGTTTTGTTGACCGTCTTTGTTGAAGCCAAGGCCCACTTAACGGCCCCGGTGATAGTCTCATGTACCCCGACTGGGCTGGCGCCACCACCATCAGCTTATACTGAATCGCTAGCAGGTGATTCACCGGAGAGCAGCTGCCCCAACCATTACTTTTCGCGGAAGGCAGCTGCGGCCACATTTACCCTATCTGTGGCGACAGTGCGCCTACAGAAACTAAACTGCAATGTGTTGACCAACGCGGGCCCGAAATCTTCGCGACAACAAGGGGCAACAAACACCAGAAAGCAACACTGTGAAGATCAACGAAAAAGGTTAGTAAAAACAAACCAAAATGACTAGCCGCTGACTACGAGGTAGAAGTGTTAACCGTAGCCCAGAATCAGAAAACAGCGTTGATGATAGGCCCATGGATTAACCTGAGGGACTGGAGGACATCAGTGCACTTGTTCCAAGCCCCGCATCAGAAACTAGTGTTAGCGACTGGCCTATGGACCAGCCTGAGGAACTAGAAGGCCTCAGCCAGCCCATAGCAACCACAATGCACCGCAAAGCGGAGTGTGTAACAGTAGACAATACTAATGATCCAGGATCAAACAAACTACCATGCTAGAAAACAAACAAAACAAAGACGAAATAAAAGACCTCAGTTGTTAATATGTTTGCCAAAATGCAAGAAAACAGTGTTAAGTTGCAGAGAAGTAATGTCAAATTGTTGGGAAACATAAACTTGCAAGAAAACAATGTCAAATTGCAGGAAAATATAGAATCCAACAAGAAGTGGCATGAAAAAGTAGACTTTAGCATCAAAGACTTAGAAATTAAGTTGTCTGTTAAAGAATTTAGAGAGAATTTAGAAAACAAAAGTGATCAAGTACAAGAGCACGTAGAAGACGAGGTCAAACCAGAAATAAGTAAACTTAACCATACACAAAACGAAAAAGAAATTATCAAGGATTCAAAATCATGTGAGATTAAAGATGTAGCAAAAACAAGTAGAGTTAACCATGTACGGAATGAGAGAGAAACTCCTGACAAAGATTTAAAGCGATTAGGGGGGGGGGAGAGCCGAGCCCATCCAGTCTCAGAAACGGAAACATTTTGAAGAATGATTCGAAACAATTTGAAGGTTAATGAGTTAGATAATGAAAAATCGCAGGAAAACCATGAGTGCACAGCTCTGCTACACCCTCAAACCGCCACTCCTAGTAAAAGCGACAATACCGGATTTTAAAACACAAGTACTTTCCTCAGAAATGCTAGTAGCAAACGCGAGGCTGTGTCGGTGAATGCTGGAACACAGCAAACCGTGAACAGGAACAATAATAGACAATTTTTATGCATTAATGCTACTGTATTTACTTCTATCGTGTATTTTTGAGAGATGTGAAGTAAAACACGGGAATTTTACTCTTCACTGCTTTAATTGCGTTACTGCTGTAAAGATGTACTTCCGGAAATTGCGAGTCGTGCTTGCGTGGGGGGTCTGGCCGAACCTCACGTCATTCTATTTGCAGTGGGGCCAATATGAGCATCTGAAACAGCTATATACTAGAAATATCACACGGAAGCAATCCGTACACTGAAGCTGCCTTTCTGATTTCTCATTCTAGGCTGCGGGTGTTTTGTAACACTAAATAGGATTATGTAAAATTTGAGGCTTTCACGGCGGTGACTATGAAGAAAGCAGTCTTCTGGGATTTGGCACCGTGTATATGTGGTGTTAACCGACGTTTCGGAGGAACGTATCGCCTCCATCTTCAGGGTAGAAGAAAAAATATAAGAAATCTGCAAGCGAAGAGACCGTGAGAACCGGTAAAAGCAGACTGTATGGAAATATACACAGCTATGTGAGAGCAGTGAGGGAAGGGGGGAAGGGCAAGTATACAAGTGAAAGCAGTAGTGTGGGAGGGGTAGGGGAAGGGAGCTGGGACAAGCGTGGTTTTTGTGTAGGGGAGAGAAAGGCTGTGCACAACCCGAAAGCTGAGGGGGGTTGTTATGTTGGTCATGGCCTGTGTGGCCTTCTGGATCTGGCGTCATATCCCGGTGAAGGTTTTTTAAGAGAACAGATGAGAGGCTTCCATGACTTGCTGAGACAAAACTCCACCTCTCTGTTCATATTGTCAGGATGGAGTTCAATCTCAATTGCCTCCCTAATGATGCGATCCATATAGCGGGTCTTGGTGGCGAGGATGGAGGTATTCTGAAGTTGAATGCGGTGTCCCAGATCGATGCTGTGTTCGGCTACGGCCGACTTGTCCGGTTGTTCGGGACTGATGTGCCACCTGTCTGCCCAATATAAACCTTCCCGCACTAGCATGGGATACTGTATACACCCGGTGTCCTTAGGCCCAGGCTGTCTTTAACCGGCCGGAGGAAATTTGATAATTTGTATGGAGGCAGACCCACTGCTTTGATGATGTGGCGGGACAGCACTCTGCTGATACGGTTGAATATGGCCCCGACATGGGGAAGGAAGGCGACTGAGCCCGGTTTGTCTTCAGGCCGGCTGATGTTGGGCCGACGGTTGAGAACTCTGTAGATCTGCCGGTTGTTGTATCCGTTCTTCTTGAATACATCCTTCAGGAGCACCAACTCCGCATGTAGGCTGTCTTGATCACACAGTGCTCTAGCCCTGTGCACCAATGTTGAAAGTGCAGCTTGCTTGTTGGAAGGGTGGTGGTGGGACGCAGCGTTAAGGTACAGGTTTGTATGGGTGGATTTGCGGTACACTCTATGGCCCAGGGAACCGTCGGGTCTCCTGTAAATATCTATATCCAGGAAGGGGAGGTGGCCTTCAGTTTCAGTTTCCATTGTGAACTGGATGCACTGGTTGATACTACTTATGTGGTTCAGGAAGTCCTGGAGCTTGTCGGGACCGTGTGGCCAGATGACGAAGGTGTCGTCCACGTAGCGAAACCAGCAGCGGGGCTTGTGTGGGGCCAAGTCAAGTGCCCTCTCCTCGAAGTCCTCCATATAGAGTTTAGAGATGACCGGAGAGAGTGGCGAGCCCATCGCAACGCCATCGGGTTGTTCATAGAACTGGGCATTGAAGGTGAAGTATGAGGTGGTCAGGACACGGCGGAAGAGTCTCAAGATGTTTTCTTCGAAATGTCGTCCTAGCAGACGACATTTCGAAGACCCCCCCTCAGCTTACGGGTTCCGCCCAGCCTTTCTCTCCCCTACACAAAAAACCACGCTTGTCCCAGCGCCCTTCCCCTACCCCTGCCACACTACTGCTTTCACTTGTATACTTGCCCTTCCCCCCTACCCTCTCTGCCCTCACATAGCTGTGTATATTTCCACACAGTCTGCTTTTACCGGTTCTCACGGTCTCTTCCCTTGCAGATTTCCTATATTTTTTCTTCTACCCTGAAGATGGAGGCGATACGTTCCTCCGAAACGTCGGTTAACACCACATATACACGGTGCCAAATCCCAGAAGACTGCTTTCTTCACTAAATAGGATTCCTTGCTGCCGTTTCCATTGCTGCTATTGTTACGGTAATATGATTTTACCACTTTTAACGCACAGCCAGACGCTCAACCTCAGAAGGTTTGGTAATGAAAACTCGTTCACACGTCTGAAGACTGATCGATCCCGCTGATTACGGACCCTCTATGGGCCCACATCACGGCGCGAGATGAATCTTCCAGATACGGCCGAGAACATTCCTTTCTCGAATATGTACGGGATGTAATAACGTATTAAGTGTAATACTTGTCCTAAAGCGAGTAACAAACAGTTGCACAGGAAGGCTTCTGTGGACGGAGCCATTAGCTAAGTGACAGCGGTGATGAAACTTTGTGAAACGTCCCATGTGCTTTGGCATTCACTCCAGTTCATAAATATTTAAGTAAGAGTATGCTGAAAACGAAATCTAGTAAATTTGTAATGATGGCGTTAAGACAGCCGGAGATGAACTTACGTGCATGTGCCCGCACTTCTCAGCTTCAAAACCATGCTACGGAATTTTGTGATATTATTTGCATGTAATTCCACTGGTGGCCACTCCATGTCTGTAGTTTGATTCCTAACATTCGTAGGAAGGGTGTGCTGGGGGCGCGCACCAACTTGCGATGATGATTGACAGCACCGACCCGAAATGCGGTTTTTTGTGATGTAACCTTTCGTGTCCGGAGTTCTGAGCCAGACGCAGCAATACTGACGTAACGTAGTGTTACATCTTTGTAACGAATCACTAAAATGTTAGGCGTTCTAAATTTTTCACAAGGTATCCCCACTGTTGCTACCGCTGTTTGCGTGCCGTATTATGCCCGTATAACAATTCGACAGTTTCAAACTAATTTCCTCTCAGAATCTGAACATTGCGTTTACTCATCTATTACATGGACGATGTAAGAAATATGTACACTCCAGTTACCGATGGGGGAGAATCATCCTCTCGACTTACCATCAAAATGGCTTTTAGAAATCAGTAAGATACAAGTTTCAACGTTATTGAGGACAGATTATTAACGGGTGGAGAATTTCGTCATAAACATTGTGGTTTCGGTCGTATGGTAAAAGAGCAGTCGTTTTCACCACAAACAGTGAACATGCTTATAGGAACAGACTAAAGGGGAAAAAAGTCTCCTGCCATCTCTACGCTGATGGACAGACTGTAGGGGAATCAAGTCTCCTGCCATCTCTGCGCAGATGGACCGAACTAGATAGATAGAACCAATCACAATTCAACTATTACACTACATCGAATCGCATTTGCGTGACCCAATCCCAGTGATCCCAGTACACATTTTGCAGTAGATTGGCGGTTGCTGACGTCAGGGCCGCCAGAGAGGTATTAGGCGTCAGGGCACTGGTTGTAGTACTCAGTTGTCGAAAAGTGAAGTATGTCAGTTTGCGGATGATTGGTATGTATGGATTTTGATTTGATGTAGTGATTCAAGAGCTGACGTTTACTCTTTTAGTTACATCGCCATGTTATTTCTGTTTATGCGATTAAGTTAGAAATATATATGAAGTGAAAAATTCCTGTTAAGATTTTTCTGTAGGTTATGCTTCTTTCGATGTAGCTTAAAGGAGGTCTGTAGAATCTCGAAACTCACCATGTACTGGGATTGTGTTATAATATCTGTATTGTTTCTTGCGGGATAAATGGGAAAAAAATTTGCGCCGCCTCAGGGTGCTCGTCATCCAGTAGGCAGACGGGTTTGAAGTTGCGGTGCAAGGGCCGAGAAGGCCAACCCCTCATACGTACGTACATACATTCATTCATTCCCAGGGATTCAGCACGGTAAGGCTGTTTTAATGCATGAACTAATAAAAGCTTTATTATGTGGTGCTTAATCAAACGAAATTAAGTTTAGCTAGTGTCTGTATTAAACGTTACCCCTCAAAAGAATGTAAATTGTTTTAATCGTACCTCAAAACACTCAGTGTCATTCAAATCTCCATAGGCATTGTCACTACAATAGGACATATGGAGGATTTAAGACCACAGAAACTGTTTTCAAAACAATTATACTGACACATTATTATCTCTGTATTACTATATTATTATTATTATTATTATTATTATCTATTATCTATTATAATTTGACATACTATTTCTGTATTATTATATTCTTATTACTATTTAGTATTAGTATTAATATTAATCTTTGACTTGTCCCATATCATGTATAATGATTCATGGATGAAATAAAATTGAATTGAATTTAATATATCCTTAATATGTTGTGGTAGATTATTATAGACCTTTGTTTCTAAACAGTAAACTTCCTTTTAGTATTTACTCAAATTTACAGGAGGCTGATGGAGATTATTTTGCTGTCTGGTATTTAATCTATAAATCTGAATTTACTATGATTTGTTTGTTTTTTATCACAAAGAGCAAAAGAGATAGTATGTACTGAGATGCCAGAGGTAAGATTTCTAATTCACTAAATAAGTTCCTGCACAAATCCCTCCTCCTGTGTCCCAACATAATTCTAAATATATTCTTTTGCATTCTAAAAATTTTTTTACTTTGGGGTGAGTTACCCCAAAAGGATAAACCATAATTTATAATAGAATTAAAATAAGTGATAAACCATTTTTAAGGTATTTATGGACGTGTATGGTTTAAGCGATCTTATTATGCAGCAGACTGCACTTAGTTTAGAACTGATATACTCAATGTGGTATTTCCAGCTCATTGTGTCATCAGTGAATATTCCAAAAAATTTCATATTGGATGTAGATTTAATTTGTTTTTTATCATATACAATTTTTATTTCAGATTTAGGATTACAATTTCTAGCTGTAAATTGATTGTAGTTGGGTTTGTTAAAATTTATAGGAAGTTTGTTTACCATGAACCATTCATTTATACTATGAAAAGCATTGTTTATATTTACACAGAGCCCATCATAGTTTGAACTTTTAACTAACTAGTGTCATCTGCAAATAATGTACGTGTAGGTACAGTTTTATCATTTATAGTTTTGGGTAAATCGTTATATAAATGAGAAATAACAATGGACCCAGAATCGTACCTTGCCGCATGTCAAAAATTAATTTAGATTAAGATTTATATTTGTAATTAAAACCCTTTGATATATATTTCTAAAATAAGATTCAAGCCATAGTTTAGCTTTACCCTTTATCCCATAGAACTTCAATTTCAACAACAGAAGAACCACATGATTAACACAATTGAAGGTCTTTTCTAGGTCACAAAAAATGCCTCCTGATTAAATTTTTGCTGTTCAAGGTCTTTCAGATTTCATTCACTAACTTGTATATAGCCTCATCTGTTGAAGATTTTGTTCTAAAACCATATTGTTCTTCCACTAAAATCGTTATTGTTGTTTAGGTACTCAATGAATTGAATGCTCATACCTTAGAGAACGAAGTTGAAAGTGATATAGGCTTATAATTTTACAGTATTTTTTATAATAGTTTTTAAATTCTGAATTATTACTGTTTCTACATGCCATATAGAGTACTCTTTTACGTTTACAGGATGTTATTCCTATAGTAATCCAACCACTTATTTTATTTGTGTGTGGATTTTTTTATTTTTTTTATTACTGGAATAGTAAATTCTCATGTAAATGCCTAAAAAGGAGTTAAACATTATATTAACATCTTCACTAGAAAATGTTGAGTCCCATGTTTCATGACTTGGTTTAATTAAAGGGTCATTTATTGTGTTTGTTTTTTTTCCCCTTATTATTTTAAATTGTCATGTTTGTTTTAAATGTTATAGATTGTGCATCATGATCAGACAATCCATTTATTATAGGCCTTGGAGAATAATTTCCCTTCTAGTAATATCGATGAAAATATTATCAATGGCTGTAGCAGAATTTCCTTGAACTCTGGCGGAAAAATTGATTGTACTTATTAAATTATAAGTTTTCAATAATGTTTCTGATTTGTTTTTGTTTTCACTATCAAGAAGGTAATTTATATCCCCACAGATAATATATTCTTGTGTTGAGGTATATAGATTTTTAAGTATTGTATCTAGTTTTGTTATGAATGATCAGTGTTTCCAGTATATTGTAATTATACAAAGTCTGTTGGAGCTCAGGTGTAACATAACAGCACATACCTCAATATCTTTTTCTTTACAATATTTTTTTAGGTCTATATTTACAAATTTCAAGCTTGTGCATAGATAGATGCATACTCTCCCTTTTTCATACAAGGTTCTACAATAGTTTGCTCCTAGTGTATAAGAATCTATATTTAACTGTTGTAATGTTAAGAATTTCATGTGATGTTTGGGGATGCTGAGTGTAAATGACTTAATAGCTCATTTGCTTTCCCCCCTTAAACCTCTAATGATCTGATGGAAAATATTAAAGAATTTTATATCATTTTCTTTTTTGGCAATTTTATATCATTTTCTTTTTTGGCTACTCCATTTAAGGAAATATATCTTTTTGGAGCTTCTTTATTTACCATAGAAAATACTTATTTTTCATACCTGGTAGTTTTTTGAGTCCATTTCATTTGCATACTGGTTCATTTTTTTTTTGCTCTGTAGGTGTTTTTGCTGTGAGTCATTCATAGATGGGCACTTGTTAGCTTGTAGATTTGCATTATAATTTTCAGATTCCTTCCAGAGCAAGCAAATTGGGGTGAAATTTTTGATTGAGAAGTTGTCACACAAGTTGCTGCTATACAGGTTAATTCTCGAAGTTTTACCCCGGCTTATGGTACATATTCCGGGGGTTATTTCCTGCAAAATTTCCTTATAAACTTGTCGATTTTCAGTAGTTACGGAGTAACAATAGATTTTCGAAATGCATCATTGTGAATGCAGCGCTATGCTTCCTGCCTGGGCAACCATGCGTTCCAGTCAGCTGTCAGCAGATAAGGCAGACTGGCTGGAATGTTATGCGTAGGTAGGCAGAACGATCCAGTAGTAAACAGGACGTTGTGATGGTGACTTAGTGAAGTTAAGCTGCTGTACACATTTTCCACTGAGGAATACGCCGATATGGCGTTTTTTTGGGGTGTATGTGATGGAACTGCCAGAGTCACTGATGCCAAATATCACCGGCATTATTCTAATAGCAGGATTCCGAATCCTAAATCCATTAGTAGTACATTCAGCACATTAAGACAAACTGGTTCTCTCCCTAGCGTTCGTATATATGAATGAAATCCTCAACATGAATTGTGCGAAGAAGAAAATATTCTCGATGCTGTAGAGCGTAGTCTGCGTGCCAGTACATGACGTCTAGCTCGGCGGTTCGATGTTTCTCAGTCCATGGCATGGAGGACTCTTCATGAGAACAGGCTGCATCCTTATCATTTACAGCAAGTACAACGCCTACAACCAGGAGACCGTGCTCTTCGTCTGCAGTTCTGAAACTGGTTAAATGGAAATAGGCAGTTGTACCGCTTGATAATGTTCTGCGATGAGACAGCTTACACGGGATGGGGTCAACAACAGTCGCAACTTACATGTTTGGGCAGACAATAATCCTCGTGCCACGATAGAACCAAATTTTCAACACCGATTCAGTGTCAATGTCTGGTGTGGTGTTCTGTATGATCAGCTAATCGGGCCGTTCATTTTTCCTGGCCACTTAACTGGCGAGTTTTACCTCCACTTCTTAGAAGAATTACCACAGTTACTTGAAGATGTTCCTCTGGCAGCAAGATGCCGGATGTACTTGGAGCATGATGGGGCACCTCCTCACTTCTTCCGTGCATTAGCAGCTCACTTGGATCGGCATTTCCGACAGCGGTGGTTTGCTCTCGGAGGCTGTAATGCCTAGCCTCCCAGGTCGGCAGATCTAACGCCGTTAGATTATTGCATCTGGGGCTGGATGAAGGACATTGTGTATCAGGTAAAGGTACAAACACGTGAAGCGTTGCTTGAATGTATTCTCAACGTGGCAATGACATTAAGGAACAATCGTGTGGAACTGCGAAATGCTACGAGCGCGGTTCATATGCGTGCCACGCCTTGTGTTGACGTGCAAGGAGACATTTCTGAAAATTTTACATAAATCCAGTCTTCTTCTAAAGCACCACAGTTTAAAGGAAACATTGATAGAAAGGTGTGATATGCAACCATTGGTATGTTTACAGAATGGGATGCTGAAAATAACGTAATTTCGTAACATAAAATCGATGAAAAATGTTGGCCAATGCAAAATTAAGGAATTTAAAAAAGAAATGGTTTTAGAATGCTTCTTTCCTAAAACATTAATTTTTTAAAAAGTGTTTGTATTGTATTTCTAATTTGTTTTGACTGAAATTCGAAGAAGAAAAGATTTTTCGCCAGTACTGTACTGTATCTCTTTGAGTTGGATACTATTACTATATTAAAATATGTTGTTCCAGATTACCTCAGGAATGCCATCCTTAAGTGGGGGAAAAATTCGTGAATCACCCTGTATGTATAAGTATTTCTTCTTTTCCTCTCCTGTTCAGATGCATACTTTGTCTTGTAAAGAAGTGTCTGTTTAAGTCACAGTTCATTACTGTGACATGTTCATGACATTTCATGATTCTAAACAGTTTCCTATTAAAGGCATTTATGTCATTACGCAAGACCAATCTGGCAGGTCGTGTCTATGTGGTATACCTAATAGAATAATAATAGTATGAGTATTATTACTTACAAAGTTTAAAATGTGTCTTAGTCCCATTTTAGAATTATTTTTTCAGAAATCGTTGGCACTTCCACGAAATAGAAGAACATCATTTTTTCCTAAGTTTAAAATAGTTACATAATTACTTAGGGTAAATAAATCAGCTCCTGGTTTTATAATTAGAATTACCTTAAAACTTTTATCAAGATTTTCTCTCAGTTTACTTGCACATCTCCTTACATGGCTGTCTCCATTAATTAATATAGTGTGGTTTCCTTTGTTCTTTGAAGCACTTGCTGCTGAATCAGCAACTTTCTCCTTGGGAGCCTCTTTTCCATTCCTTGCATTAGCCTTAACGGTTTCATCATATGAATGTAGGATGTCACTGTTTAGAACTTTATTGTTATTAGATGTTACTAGACCATTTATTATCACTGAAATGTTATTAATCGTCTGTCCATTTGCATCATCCTTGTATTTACTATCTCTTGCTTGAATATTACTTCTGATTTTATTTTGTACAGTTTTACTTGGTTTGAGAATTTCTTCCTTCATTAGACTTAATAACCTCATTCAGGTTAGATAAAATTTCAAAATGATTACTTGTTGTTAAATATGTTTCCTCATGATCTTTTAACTGCTATCTTTTTTTTTTTGGATCCAGTTATTTTCACTTGGAGATATTTGAGACCCATTTCCATTATTTTGTATGACACTTTTACTAGCACTAGACAAAGCATCCGCTTATGAATTGTGTCAAGTTTTTGAGACAATATGTAATCGTCTTACAGGTCTATGGTATGGTCAGGAAGAGTTGGGATATCCTGCGCTATTGATCCTGCTAGAATGCTGCACTATAAATTTTGGTGCAGTAGTAGAAAGTGATTTCACTACAGCTGAACAGATTCGCAGTTCCGTGTAGATCAGATTCTGCAGCACAGTCACACCCACAACCTCCTGATCCTTCATTACACACCATTTCAGGTAATCGCTATATGCTGCTGCTACGAATGCAGTGGCTAATAATGAGGACTAGTTTTCATAATAGTAGTAGTCCTCAGAACCCAGTTGTAATCAATCAAACGTCATTGTCATCATTTATTACTACTGAAACTATCAGTTTATAGGTCATGGATAATTAAAAAATGTTTGAAAAGCAGAATATGGTTTCAGTAATATGATTTATGAGAGGAGGAGGTGGTGGTAAAGACTTTACTATGAGGAGTATAGTAACCATTGTACACCTTTTTTTATACGAAGGGGGACGCAAAAATAACCGGAAACGACCTGTTGGGCGCGCGCGTGCTTTGTAGTTATGAGTTATGCTGCTAGGTGGTATTAGCTGGGGGTCTCCCGCAACTGTTAGTGAGCTGGCGTCAGTCTGAGTTAAGTGGTTTGTCTGTGGTGCTGTTGTGTGCATTCCTGTTTCAACCCTTTGGCGATTAGTGAGATGGCCGACCAGAAGGAACAAAGAGTGTGTGTGAAATTTTGCTGTTAGGGAAAACTGCACTTCACTCTTCAAGTCGTGGCAAACATTCACGCGGTTTTCTCTTTGGTCATCTCCGAGCAAGCGAGGAACAAATTTTGCAGACACCCGTCTCATGTGCAAACCTTCGGTTAAAATTCGCTGGACCGTGCTCCATGAGATGTTCGTTTCCTCAGAAAGTTGGTCAATGGTCTTTCGACGATCTTCATCAATTTCACGCACACTCTTTGTTCCTTCTGGTCGGCCATCTCACTAATCGCCAAAGGGTTGAAACAGGAACGCACACAACAGAGCACCACAGACAAACCACTTAACTCAGACTGACGCCAGCTCACTAACAGTCGCGGGAGACCCCCAGCTAACACCACCTAGCAGGACAACTCGTAACTACAAAGCATGCGTGTGCAACAGGTCGTTTCCGGTTATTTTTGGGTCCCCCCTCGTAGAGGTCAAGTAATGTGTGTTATTTCCCAATGTGAAGAATTATGGTAATCCATCATGTAAGCAAGGAAGGAAGGAAGGACAGACGGACGGACACTAATTTCACATTTTTCTTTTGTTCATTCAGGAGGGTGCTGGAGTGAATACCTGGCAACAGCTGTGTTTATTGAAGAGGTTGACAAACTCTTTGAGAGCTTAAATAGTGGAAAGCACTGTGTTGCCCACTAAGTGATAACAGTCTGCAATATAGAACACCGGTTATCCACTTCAGCATGAAACGCTGAGAAGCAGGATCAATATCAGGATTCAGTGTGGGTAGCACATATTGTGTAATTTATTGACCTCTCTTGGTTTTGGTATATTGTGTTTTATTATTATGGGTGCATTCCTTCTAATAATTTATTTAACTATTTTAATATTTTTATTATTCTGTTTTTGTAATTATTGTGGGTGTACTCCTTGTCATAATTTATTTACCAGTTTTATTTTTGTTATATTATTATTCTGTTTTAATAATATGGGTGTTTTCTTATTTTTCCCCACATTACTTTGTCCAGTGCTGAACTGGTGAACATGAATATAAGATTTCCAATCATTGCATTTCCTTAAGATATGTTACTAATTTTGCCAAATATTCCTGTCCAGTGCTGTAATACAAGATGACTATCAGATTTCTAATATTCTGTAAGATATTGTGACGTGTTGCACTATGGATGGTGCCCCCCCCCCTTCCCCGCCAGCCGTGACGTGCTGAAGTGAGCAAGAGTGCAGGCACGCTGGTCGCTATGCAAAGCGAGTAAACAGCGGTTACTAAGCAAAGTCAGTCAACACCCCGTCTCTCCCCGCAGTGACGTAATACGGGACACCACAGTTGCTACGTAGCCGTAAACAACTCTCAACAGCGTTGCTAGGCTATCAGCGAACACTGACTAGACAACAAGGAAGCGAGGCGTTTCCCATTTCCCAGCTGAGGGTGTATAAGAGAACTACACTGCCTACGAAGACAGTTAAGTTGGAATCTAGCCAGCAGAGAGCTACGAGTTAGCCAGGGAGTCAGTCAACCCGTCAGTTGTAGCCTAGCATTCGCAGCCAAGTAATTGTAATACTGCAGATAGCATTAGTAGTGAATCCGTAAAATGTGTGATTGTACGAGCAAATGTGCAATAAAACTCACTATATACAATACGGCGTGAAGTTATTTGTCGCGTTATACACCCAACGTGACAATATTATGAAATGTTAATTAATTCCATCCAGTGTGACCGACGTCCAGTCACGCTGGACAGAAATAATTAACCTTTTATAATGTTAGTGTTGCGGACCAGGATGAAATAAATGTTGATATATGTGCAATTTATTGTCCAGTACTGAAGTGGAAGATGAATATCAGATTTACAGTATTATGTAAGATATTGTAACGTGTTTCGTTACAGAAGACGCCGTAGAGATGGTTAATTGGTTTATTTAACAATCTACGAGAACGGCTACAATTAATGATAACAATGTTACGGGTTTCCACACTTTACAAACCCTAGAACAAAATCTCTTAACAGTCTCTTCGAGAGTCTTCACGTACTAATAATGCGGGAGCTATACAAGTCTCCCTGAATTACACACTCCAGATATGACTGGTTATCACTGGTTATCGCGCACGCGGCTGTAGCTCGTAACTTGCGAACTGAGAAGTCGTTGATAACGCACTCTGCGACTGTCACAGTACAACTGACTGTGAATAGCCTTCGCTGCTCCCCATGTAGCCTTGATCGGACCATACGGAAAACGGCCACGTAATAGGCACCCTTGTTGCCTGGCGCCGTGTTGCTAGTAACGCTAGCGGTAGTAACCGCTGTTACTACTGTAACAATCCTATTGCGTCACCGTTACGTTACCGTGCGGAGGAGGGGGAGGGGAGCGCTGACTCACCCGCCGCGTCACTGCTGGTGGGGGGGCGTTCTCCTTTGCGCAACATGTCACAATATGTTATTACTTTTGCCATATAATCCTGTCCAGTACTGTAACTACCTGTAGTGGGCAGTGCTGCTACATCCCTGGCTGTTACTTTGTGTTCCAGACTCTTCTATTTCAATGGGGGCCAACCACTGCAAAGTGTTTTGACAGTAATTTTTCAAATCCTGGCAGAAGACTTGAATGTTCGCTTCATGATCTTCAGCTCAATGGTCATCCCAAAGGTCCTGCTGGATCCCTTCCTCAGATTTAGAAACTGCCCTGGTATATCTGGTATATCTCAGTGCATAGCAGATGCTCAACATGCTACATTATGTATATGAACTCTATGGGAACTTAGCTTTTTGACAGCTTGTATCAATTATTTAAATTACATGTGCTTCTTTATGTTCAGTGTAGACGTCCAGAAATTGACATTTTCTAGTTCACTGTTAATGAATGTAGGAACTAATAGATTGAGATATGAGCATGATTTTGATATACAGCTGTATTAACATAAAGGAATTTTGATTGACACCAAATGTATAATATTCTTTGTTTAAGTAAAAGGTAAAGCTATCCCTGTAACAGGCTGTTAAGGTCCATACGAGTGTGAGAGGTAAGGCTGCCATATCTTTTAGATGGTTACAGATGGCTGTAAGGTTGTCAGCCTTATGCGCCAGCCACTCTTTACCCCCAGGAAGATTCCTGGTACTCATTTCTGTTAGAGGCTGAGCCAACCCAATGGCCATAGTGCAGCTGGAAGGATTAGGTAAATTGAAAAATCCAATAACCTCATTGGGATTTGATCCTATAACTTTCTGGCTTGTAGCATAGTGGCTCAACCAAGTATGCTACCACATTCCCCTTCTGTATATAAATGCTGCATAGTGCCTCAACCAAACATGCTACCATGTGTCCCTTTTGTATATAAAGTACTAAAAATATTATTGCCTGACACTGGAATTTACTGTCATAAGAATGGTCAAATTTAGTGGAAGTTAGTGAAGTGCTGAATGCTTATTGGATGAATACGGTATGCAGAGCATGACACGGCCCTTACAAGATTAACCCTTTCGCTGCTGCTATGATACATAACTTCAGTACCCTGTGTTCTGAATTATTTTTTAATAAATCTTATATAAATAAATTAAGTGCAAAGTATGAAAATTTGTGATAAATTGTAACTAATCTTACTTCAGACAGGGAACAGGTATCAGAAGTTCACAAAAATGTTGAATAATTCAGTATTTTTCAGAGGGGGAAGGTCCATTTAAATCGGGGTTGTCCAAGATGGCCAAAAAAAGTACATAATTCACTATCCTAGTCTTTATTACTATGTTACATGTTGACCAAAGTCCACAACTATTTAAAACTATTATAGAAAGCACCACCCACTGTACGAAGCCATTTTTGCTAGACCTGTGAAATACCTGCATCACATGACCAAGGAGCTCATGCCTTGCTGTGCAGATGCAACCCTTTACATTTCTTCAGCTAGAAGGCAGAAGAATGTAGCCATTGAAAGAGTGATGCTTCATTATATTCCCAGTAAATGACTCTATGCACCCTCCAAGTTTGAATGAGATTTGAAACTCTAAATTCGCAATATGGGTTTTGTCGATTGCAGCAAGGACGCCATGATTTTCAGAGATTGACCTATGTCGACCACAGCAGTGTAAGTGTTGAGTGTTATCCAGTTGTTTGCTATCCCCCTGACTAGGTGCCTGCTCCCCCCCCCCGTACGTTGATAGTGCCTCCTGGACCCATTCCAATACTGAAAGTTGACCTAACTGCCTCCTGTTTTGGTTTTCCCACATATCCAGTCTCATCAAGTGGTTTCTCAAGTGTCACCTGTATCTTTCGATATTTCCATGATTCTGGTTTCCATAAGTTGACTCACTGTGTGGTTCCTTCATGAAAAGGCCACAGATTTTTGTCAGAAATTGTATTTGTTTAACCTTCAGTCCTTCAATGTCCTTTGGTGTGGGGGGGGTTTGCAAAATTCATGGTTTAGATCAAAACCGTACTGGGTTCATATGTACAGGGAGGATTTTAATGAGGTTGACTGAGTTCACAGCTCTGCGCTTCATGGTAACTCGTGCCACATGCTGAAGGACACATGCGAGTTTGGATGATGACTTAGCCTGCTTGGTGGCAGATAATGTTTGGAATGAAGGAAAATAATTTACATGTAGAACTATACATGGTATTATGTTAATGCATGGCAGTTTGTTTATATTTTATCAGCAGTAGGCAGCAGTGTGGCATAACATGCTTCGTGATACCTTAGTTAGTTATTGGAGAGGGTGGGTTTCCCCATGCACTTAGACCAGTATTGGTCCATTGCGCTTCCCTCTATGATATTCTACCAGTCTCTATACCCTACCGATATCGGTGCGTACCATCAGTCCCGGCTGAGCCAGCGAGTTTGGCCTGTACTGGCTTTGTGTTACTATAATGCTGCTCCCATCTATCAGAGGCGTTAGAGACTACTGTTTGGCGGGAAATGTCCTTGAATTTGGCTCAGTGACCTCCTTTGGAGATATGAGGTTCTTTTACATGCCGTAAAGCTACGACACGGGACCCATGGCTTAAAGTTCCTCTCGGAGGACTTGTACCCTGAATTTTTCCGCCTTTAAAAATTCAGCAACCTCCGCCGGGTTTGAACCTGCGTACCACGAGTCATGAGGTTGGAACGTTACTCTAGACTACGGAGGCCGCTTTCGTGATACCTTAGAGCAACTTTTTTATCTGTAGGACACCTACATGAAATGTGGATCTGCTGGAAAGTGTCTGCAAAAATTTTAATGTAAATTTGATGATCATAAGGTTCCCAGCAGACACATAATGTGGTGAATAAACTTAGAACAGGACTGTTAATATACAAGATAAAAAATATAAGTGCCCAGTGCTCACTGAAGAGAACTTAGACGACATAGGGACCAGGCTTGAACATAGACCTAGGAAATTACTGGAACATTAGCTCAGGAGACTGAGGTGTTAAAATCTAGTGCAGAAACTGAAGCACAATTGCTGAAGCCATCCAGTGAAAGTTGGTGTGTTTGACTTTGAATTTATTTGCATTCCATAGACCCTAAGTAGGTTAATACCTTTGGATATGGAACAGGTCAAAAGAATACCTACTGGTATAAGTAATTTTATCTTAAACTAATTTAGCTTAATTCTACATTCTCTATTTACATTGAGGTATTTGTCTACAGAGTAGAAGGAATGAGCATGCAGATAATTCGTTAGCTCTGTTTTAAAATGTGTAGTATTATTTCTCAAGTTTTTGATACTTTTGTGGGAGACTACTGTACACTTTTATGCCAGAAAAGTAGATTCCTTTTTGATATAGTGATAAGTTTGATGAAGGTAGATGGAAGTTATATTTTTGTCTAGTATTCATGGTACAGATATTGGAATTTAATTGAAGTTTGTTTTTGTTGTACACAACAAATAAGAGAAGCGATACAATGTATTGTGATTGAAGAGGTAGAATTTTTAATTTCTTAAATAAATCTACATGAATCTCTACTTCTACGTCCTGTAATGATTCTAATTATATTATTTTGTATCTTAAAAAAAATTTTACACTGTGTGAAGAGTTCCCCCAGAATATTAATGCGTAGTTCATAATAGAATGAATGTAGGCATGGTAAACCATCTTCAGTGTTTCCTGTGGCATAAAAGGCTTAATTTATCTCGTTGCATAGCAAGCTGCACTTAATTTAGGTATAGTTCTATATGTATTTTCCAAGACAGTGTCCTATCTACATGTATTCCAAGGAATTTTGTATCAAGTGCTTCACAGATAAATTTGTTGGCATAACTGATGACCAGATCAATTTGGTGGCTGTTTTTAGTTGAGAATGGTATGTAATGGGTTTTATTAAAATGTAGTGAGAGCATTGGCTTCGGACCATCTATTTAAAGCTTCAAATTCAAAATTTATATCATTTTTAAAGTCTTCAATTTTAGAGTTCTTAAATGTTATACTAGTGTCATCTGCAAATAGAATTTGTTTAGATTTATTATTGATGGTTTTTGATAGATCATTTATGTAGAGAAGAAAAAGCAAGGGGCCCAAAATTGATCCCTGTTTAACACCATGTTTTATGATTCCCCAGTTTGAAAATGCATCAGAACTGGAATTTTTACTTTTTTATCTCCACTCTTTGGTATGATTTGATCCATTCATTAGCTTTGCCAGTTATTCCATAGAAATTTAATTTCGATAGTAAGGTATCATGATTTACACAATCAAAAGCTTTTGCTAAATCGCAGAAAATCCCTACCAGTATTAATCTCTTATTGAGAGCATTTAAAATATCGGATCGTTCATAGGTTGCTTTTTCCATGGTTTGGCCTTTCCTAAATCCAAACTGTTCTTTGACTAATATGTTGTTAGAATTTAAGTGTTCAAGTAATCTGTTATACAGGGTGTCCCAGGAGGAATGGACCAAACTTCGGGAGGGTGTTCCTTATGTTAAAGTATGCCGATATAACCCAAAACACCTATGTCCAAAGTTGAACGGTTATGGAGATAATGGCCCGAGAAAAGTGTGATCTTCTAGCAGGTCCACGCACTATACCTGTCAGCTGAGAGAGTTCTGTTTGTCCCTGAGTGCTGTGAGTCTCACTAGCCGTAATCTGACCTTGAGTGCTGTGAGTCACACTAGCCATAATCTCATGCGCTACTTACAGAGGCTACAGTGTATGTTGAGTCAGCATTGTGAATGGTTAGTAAATTACATGCTGTGCGGTGTTGCTGAAATGCCTTTTGTGTTTTCACACGTTGAATATCGTGATATGCATTTTGTGTATGGATTTTGTGGTGGCAATGCACGCGCTGCTGTTGAGTACCAAAGGCGTTTTCCCCGATAGAAGGATTCCATCTGGACGTGTATTTACGCGAATTCACCAGACATTGCGTGAGACTGGTTCTCTTCCAGGTGTTTCTGTGCAGTCGGAAAGGGAGGATGTACAAATGAGAAACACAGGAGAACATTCTTGAGATGGTTGAGAGAAGTCCGTGTCTGTCCACTCGTAGAATGGCCTTTCGCATCGGCGTATCACGTATGCAGGTGTGGCGAACTTTACTTGATGAGCTGTATCCTTACCATGATCAAAGGGTACAACATCTGGAACCAGGCGAGCATGCTCAGCGTATGGATTTATGCCACTGGATAAAATCTCATCGCGAACTGTTAAGCGTCATTTTATTCAGTGATGAGGCGTTGTTTACCCTGGATGGTGTAAATAATTTACGAAATATTCATATGTGGTCCCATAATAATCCACATGAGATAATGGAAACGAAATTCCAAAAGAGATTTTCTGTGAATGTATGGTGTGGTGTGCTTGGGAACAGGTTGATCAGACCTTATGTTTCTCGCAACAACTTAACTGGAAACACGTATGGAGCCTTCCTAAGGAATGAGTTACTATGTTTGTTGGAAGACATCCCATTAACAATAAGGAGCCAAATGTACTTCCAGCATGATGGGGCTCCCCCACATTACACTCAGCACGTGAGACGCTAAGATGAATCTTTCCCTAACCGCTGGTTATGGTTAGGTCGTGGTGGTCCCATTGCATGGCCACCGAGGTCGCCAGATCTTACGCCTCTAGATTATTACCTCTGCAACCACATGAAGACCTTAGTCTACGAAACTAAGGTCGATTCACGAGAAGCACTGCGGAATCATATTTTTGCAGTGGCAGAGCACATACGTCACCATTCAGGCAACATTGCTTCTGCTACCCAATCCATCATGATGTGTGCAGAAAACTGCATTGCAGCTGGCGGAGGACACTTTGAACAATTACTATAAAGCTGGTACTGTATTAGTACTTATGTAGTTGGCTTATAGCAGAATGCGCAGTCAGTTATGTTACACCAGCACTTGCCATTCATGTGTCATGTATAGTGATGAGGCGTCTTTTACCCTGGACGGTGTAAATAATTTACGAAATGTGCATACGTGGTCCCATAATAATCCACTTGAGATAATGGAAACTAAATTCCAAAAGAGATTTTCCGTGAATGTACGTTTAATACAGTTATGTGGTCGGCTTATAGCACAGCCATATTACGTCACCGCTTGCCAGTCATGTGTCATGTATAGTGCTTGGAAACCCTAAGGATAATTATGACATGGTGAGCGAGTATTTTGTACTTCAATTTTATGGCTTCACGTCACTCACAAGTTGGTTTGATGTTACGTACATTATTAACATAACAGAATCCACATATTCCTGCCAGTTTTAATATGTATTTTGAAATCAACAAGTGTGTAACCCCGGTCAAAGTTTGACACTTCTCTGGCCATTATATCCGTAACCGTTCAACTTTGGACATAGGTGTTTTGGGTTATATCGGCATACTTTAACATAAGGAACACCCTCCCGAAGTTTGGCACGTTCCTCCTGGGACACCCTACATATATAACTTTCAAAGACTTTTGAGAATGAAGTCAGTGTAGATATTGGTCTATAGTTAGAAATGCATTTTCTCTTGCCTTTTTTACAAAGTGGTTTCACTACAGCGTATTTTAAGCATTGCGGAAAAAACCCATGATAAAGATTTATTACACAAATGATTCAACAGTGAACTGATGGAAACAGAGCTTGCTTTAAGTAAATTGGTAGAAATTTCACCAAATCCATGTGAATTTTTGGGCGTAAGGGAATTAGTAATTTTTTCAATTTCCTTTATTGTTGAGAATTTGAGATTTATATTTGGAAATGAACTATTAAAGGAATGTGACAGTATATTGGATTATTATTATTAAGATATGTTTTCTCAACTAATGAGGAAATATTCATTAAATGCACTCACAATAGCTTGTGTTTTATTAGTAGATGTGCTGTAAGTGCAAGGAGGACTGTTGTACATGTGTTTTTAATGAAACAGCTTAGAAAGATATTTGTGTGTAAAGGGGCAGCATTTTCAACGCCACCTGTGATTTGAACAAAGGTAAGAACTTCCCTTCGTTCCTAATGTTAGAGGCATGCTGAGTCTTCTGCAAAATTTGCGTGTGCTCCATGGCCGGCCATGCTCCAGTTATGGTGAAACACTGAACCGAGAACATGTCAAGTTTATTAGAAACCTCCCAGTATAATGAATTATGTTTTCGACTCAAGAAATGTGCTTGCCCTCTCATCACAGATGAGCTAATGAAGATTACTGACTTGTACAGTTTTATCCTTGGTCTGAATATATTAACCATTTAATGAAAATGTTTACAATATTATATTTCAGCATCCTGTTGCACTCTACACGACAAATGATACAAACTCCGTCCCAAGTGCAAACAATATATATTATATGTCTTTGATCTTGTTCTCTTCTACACTACATGTTTCGGCCTCTATCGGCCATCATCAGGTGTATACTCTTAACGTTGCTGCCACACTGAACCCAGTCTAAAATGTAAAATTTAAAACCACATTGTTATTTTCTTCGTATTTTCAACATCTACCTCGATGTGTGTCTGGTATGTAGATTATATTGCACACGTCAAATTTGATTTTCCTGTAGTAGCACCATAAAATCTTTAGTTACGATTTTAAAAACCTTCAAAATTTTCTCTAAATTTTTAAATTTAAAATTTAAAATTGTTAGGGTTACTCGCCCTATGTCTAAAGTGCTGGAGCGGCTAGTTCTTGTTTCCACACTGTACAGGTGTTATTCTGTNTAACTAAAGATTTTATGGTGCTACTACAGGAAAATCAAATTTGACGTGTGCAATATAATCTACATACCAGACACACATCGAGGTAGATGTTGAAAATACGAAGAAAATAACAATGTGGTTTTAAATTTTACATTTTAGACTGGGTTCAGTGTGGCAGCAACGTTAAGAGTATACACCTGATGATGGCCGATAGAGGCCGAAACATGTAGTGTAGAAGAGAACAAGATCAAAGACATATAATATATATTGTTTGCACTTGGGACGGAGTTTGTATCATTTGTAATGAAAATGATTTATATTCATGTGTAATGTGCAGAAACAGATAAAGAATATATTTTGGCACCCTTACTCTAAGCCCAAAATATACTGCAAGGGTACAGTCAAATGGAATTTGCAAAGTTGCTGATAACTCTGGCCTTAGTACACAGAAGAAGGGCAGTCTTCATTCAGAATTAGTAAATTGTATATTTCTCTATCAGTGCACTGCTTCCCAAAGCAAGAGATGATGTACCTAGATATGAGAATGAACTGTCAGAGTAGGGTAGTGAACCACATTCCCAGAGAAAGCACGAGAAGGGGGAAATCATGAGTGCCCTGTAGAAAGAGTTACATGTCCAGAGAGGAGGAGGCGGCAAAGATACTGTTCCAAAGGATGCTGTCATGATAAAGGTGAGGCTCGCCTACACACGATGAACATGCCCTTCACTCTTGTGTCATCAGAAGCACATATGTTATGTTGAGAGTAAAGCACAGCACTAGCCTGCTGTCCAGTTCACATCCTTTTTACTCCTTGTGCTTGAGATACATTTTAATTTTATTTTGTCTGATGTCACACTAGGAATGATGATTGTAAGCACATGCATGGCCGCGCCATAGCTCAAGCGGTTAGTCACTGGCTTCCCACTGAGGCGGCCCAAGTTTGATCCCGGGTCTGGTGAAGTGGGATTTGTGGTGAACAAAGTGGCGCTGGTGCAGGTTTGCTCAGAGTACTTCCGTTTCCCCTGCCAATCTTCATTTCACCAATTGCTCCACAATTGCCCGATTCTGGGGCTGGTACAATAGGCCAGAAGTGGCTGCAGTACAAGGGACTTAGTCCCACCCCATTAGCAATAAAAAAAAAAGGCACCATGTGCTATGTGCAAGGATTTTATTTTGTAATTTTATAAAATTGCATCCAGACAGTGTAATCAGATAGGAATGATTCAAACTTAGCCAAGGATGGAATTCCAGCACCAGATTTTTATGGTACTTCAAAACATACATTGCGAAAATCCCAAGAAGACAGAGTAGGACATGCTAGAAGAAATACAGAATATCTCACAAGAGAGTCTCCAAGTTAAGCAAGATGTTGATGGGATAAAATTGGGTGGGTGACCACACAGTTCGACTGCCCACCTGCTGCATAGTACACCAATAGGAAGGGCATCAATTTGACAAACTGGTATAAATATCAGTGACGTATGACCATTCACCTCATCAACTCTAATGATGGAACTGAAATGTTGGTTTCTAGTTCAACATTGACATGTCTGATTGCCCAAAAAGATGTTAGCACACATTCCATTCTACTTGCTGCAGTGTTTAGGCAGCCCATACTCTCATTTCCATTATAATTTATGCTCTTACCTGGGAACTCTTTATCATGTGCTGTCTCCTTGGGAATTTGTTCATGTGGAACTCAGGAGGTCTTTGTAGTTTCCAGAGTTATCTGTTTCACTTAGATGCTGAAGTCTTGTAAATCTGCTGAATTCTTTCAGCAGCAGCAGCAGCGATATTTCCTGTCTCCATGCTAGTGTCCCATGGTTTCACATGCAATTTCCAACTTATTTGTCCCTGCAGGGAGCTAAAAAAAAATTAACATTGAGTGGACCCTTCTCACTGCCACAGTGTGTGTGTCTAGTTGTGGAGGCCAGAGCATCAGCCATATTAACACTGTTTTCTGTTCAGTGGCGGCGGCGGCCGACCGACCGACCGGCTGCCAATTTTACCTTCTTAACAGGAAATTATGTATCTGGATCACAATCTTTTTTGATCCGTATGTCCTTCTGGGTACACATGATGTTTTGTGTCTTTAAATAAACCATAGCTGCTTTAACCCATACATAACCAACTTTTCATTTCTTATTTCATACTACTGACTTTTCCTGCTGACACTGCAACACTGACTAAGAAAAAATTACTGTTTAGACCAGAAGTATTAAAACCAGACTTTTATTAGTACTAGTAATACTTGAAATTGTAAAGGTGAAGTTTAAAAGTAAAGATATCCCTGATCCTAGCAGCCTCCATAGTCTAGAGGTAACGTTCCCACCTCATGACTCGTGGTATGCGGGTTCAAACCTGCCGGAGGTCGTGGAATTTTTAAGGGCGGAAAAAATTCAAGGAACAAGTTCTCCGGGAGGGACTTTAAGCCTTGTGTCCCATGTCTTAGCTTTATGGCACGCAAAAGAACCTCATATCTCCAAAGGAGGTCACTGAGCCAAATTCAAGGACGTTTCCCGCCCAACAGTAGTCTCTAATGCCTCCGATGGGGGAAGCATTATAGATACCGCCAAGCCAGTAGAGGCCGAACTCGCTGGCTTGGTCGGGACTGATGGTACGCACCAATATTGGTATGGTATAGAGACTGGTAGAATATCATAGAGGGAAGCACAATAGATCAAACTGGCCGCGGTGCATGGGGTAACCCACCCTCTCCAATAACTATCTATCTATCCCTGAGCCTAATTAAATCACCATGATGGAAAATGTGGAGGTATAGCTCCACCATTCTTGACTTCTGCATTAGATTGAGGTGAGTGGTCAGCTTCCTACCTCTTCCGCTTCCAGGAAAACAGCCCCTGGTACCCATTGTGTAGGAGGCTGGGTGGGCCTGAGACCTGATGTGGATGTTATGCAGAAAAGAATTGCCTGTTCCAGGAATTTAACTCCAATTCCTTATCTAGCCCATAGCCTAGGCACTATACTGCTAGAGGTCCCATTTGAAATTTTAGAGGATAGTAGTTCAGCTGAAAGAAAAGGGCAGTGCTAGGGGGATACATCTGATTGAGGTCCCATTTGAAATTTTAGAGGATGATAGTTCAGCTGAAAGAAAAGGGCAGTGCTGGGGGGATACATGGCATGATGTATACTGTGCATAAGTGTGTACCTTAGTTTATTTTGTTGTGAGAGAATGATGTATTGGTAGACATAGTAGAAATTAGAAATGTCTTATTTTATGGTACATGCCTGGAGATAACTGAGTAAAACCTTGAGAAACTTTTCCTCATTTCAGGATAGCTGGTGTCTGGGCCAAGAATGAAAACTTAATCTTTGAAGTACAAAGCTAGCCCCTTAGCTGCTAGTTTGGAATGAGGATAAAAGTGAGTAGTAACATTGTACCTCACTTTTCATTATAAATGTGTTGCAGGACATAGGGGTACATTGTGTTTACTGTTGATGACAGACTTGAATTCTTATAGTAAAATTAGTTTAGGCCCTGCTACGAGTATTTGAACCCATTAAGTGTTACACATCTTTTCCAGAAAATCAGCTTTTGTTTTTTCAATCTCTTCATGTTAAGATCAGATGATCAGAGAACAGTGCTGTAGATGGAGATTAATCCTGAAGAAAGCACCAAAGTGGAGGAAATTATTTGTAGGCTACAAATTCACTGTTGCAGATTTAATTCTGTTTCATATTTATTGCCATAATCATTTTGGCTTTAGAAAATTAGTACAGTCAGTTCATTTGTAATTCAAGTTTATAAGCAGTTTGGCTGTAAATGTTATGGTACACTTGTAGTTGAGACGAGCATATGACAGATGGGCACAGTGTGCTATAGAGGTAAGGCACAGGGAGAAGCATTTTGGCTTTAGAAAATTAGTACAGTCAGTTCATTTGTAATTCAAGTTTATAAGCAGTTTGGCTGTAAATGTTATGGTACACTTGTAGTTGAGACGAGCATATGACAGATGGGCACAGTGTGCTGTAGAGGTAAGGCACAGGGAGAAGCATTTCCTGTTGAACCACTTGTTGTGATAACTCAATTTTTCAAGAATGTAACTTTCATTAATAGCTGAAATTATAGTGTACAAAAAATATGGCATTTGGGAGTTGATAAACGTTTAAATACAGTTATAAAAGAAAGTCCTTATCAGCAATAGAACTGAACACAGGACCTTCATACAGTTAAAGAATTCATTTGTCTGCCACAGAATAAGATAATTTTGAGATGTACACACCAAATATTTCAGCCTCATGACAGGTCCTAACATTGTCTCTGAAGATGGTGCTGCGCACACAACCAACAGAAAGTGAAACTGATATATTCAGTATATGTAAAAATAACAACAGTACAATTTGTGTGAGATATGCAACTGTAATAGAGTTCACATAGACATTAAGAAGTTGACTGCATTCCCGCTGTTGTTAGAATGTGTAATTTCAGCCGAAGCAGAATGTCATCGTAGTATTGATATGAGAGAGAATATCAGTGCTATTTTTTATGTTTATTGTGTTTATTTTATGACTTGCATAGACTTATGTAATTTAGCTCTATATGTTTAAAATTACTGCTTTGGAAAAAGACCCAGCAATGAAAGATCTCTCCAGATTTACAGCCTCCATTAGCAATACTTGCAAGTTGTAATAGAAATGAACTGTAGGTTAGTGATCATGTGATAATTGGTGTCTTTTGGAAAACTTGTTTGTTACATAATCTGCAATTGATATAAGCTTATTTCACATCACAAGGACATCTTTGTTGGGTTCTAAAGGCGGTCACAATATACTGACGTGGTGTTACGCCTGTATTTACTGAAGGAAGTGATATCTTATGGTTGAAGTTGTCCTGAAATATTTCCCTCTCGTCATTGTCATTCCGACAGAAGCATTTTGTTCTGGGTGTCATTATTTTATTATTATTATTTTTGGAGGGGGTGGGTTTCCCCATGCACCATGACTAGTAGTCTATTGTATGTCCCCCTTTTTAATTTCTACTGTCATACCCTACCGGTACTGGTGCTTGCTATCAGCCCCATTCTGCCAGCGAGGTCTGCCCTCTTCTGGCAGCAGTACCCGATGCTTTCCCCATCTACCGGAGGCATTGGAAACTACTTGGGCAGGAATCTTTTTGCCTCATTTTGCTCAGAGGTCTCCTAGAGACATGAGGATCTTTTACGTGCTGTAAATCTAAGACACGGGACCCACGGCTTAAAGTTCCTCCCACAGGACTTGTTCCCTAAATTTTTCCACCCTTAAAAATTCCACGACCTCTGCCGGGTTTGAACCCGTGTGCCTTGAGTCATGAGGTGGGAACGTTACCCCTAGACTACGGAGGCCGCTTTCTGGGTGTCATCGTTTTTATGCATTCTCTTCACAGACTGCATGAAATGAACACATTCAACCCCTCATTTAAAGTTTCTTTTGGAATCTGTGGATCTGAATGGATTTGAACACCAAATTGAGGAATATCGTAAATGGATGAAATTTAATGCTGGGATTATTGAAATTGAATGTTAAATGAAGGGAGAGATCTTAACACATTAAGGACTGGCGATTTAAATATTCAAATCACCCTGGGGACTGCCATTATTAAACCTACTATCCTAACACTTGCACTGTTCATTTTAAAAATTAATTTTATGAACGAGAATTTTTGGAGAACACCAATGCTCCTCATTTTAAAAATTAATATAAATTCTCCTAATTAATTTTATGAATTAAAATTTTTGGAGAACACTTACCAATCCTCCTAGAAGTGCTTGAGGGTGTGATATTTCTGGAAACATTCCCCTTTGTGAAGTGGCATTACACAGAACTTGCAACATTCGTCAGAAATGCTTTGTATTTCAATTTCGAACAAGGTTAGATTTTATACTGTCCCCGCAATGTTATTACCCCAGGTATTATCAGAGCTGCTGTCACTTTTACTCTGTGGCTACAATTCTTTGTTCTCGCCTGTTACTGCTGCCCACGCTCTCAATCACTATAACTACACCTCAACAAGGCAGGTCAGCTGGCTCATCGGAGAAAAATTTGTCCTTGTCCATACCCCCACCACTACCTACTGTCTGATATATACAGCTTGAAGAGCAGCAAAGAATTTTCGTTTATAGTGGCTTAAGAAAACAGTGATATCAAGTTACTGACAAGCAAACATTCCAGTGTATTATTAGCCATTGCGTGCAACTTGGCTGGTGCCAGAGCAAGGTATAGTGTGTTACAAACTAATGTGTCCTGAAATCATGATATGCGACCGGTCTGCCATGTTTAAAAGCCAAAAGTATGATATCACGAGACCGGTCCTCAATGTGTTAAATCAAGGAACATTAAATTAGGGTTCATTTGTAAGGTGGCAAGTTTAATTTTCCATGCTATTTGGAAGACTTGGGTAAAATGGGGGCAGGAGTCTGGACTAAAAATGGCCGGGCAAATTTGTAGTCAGGCTTCCTGGCTACAGATCCAAAGGTCTTGGGTTCGATTCCCGTTGATGCCAGATTTTCTGAGTAGTGGGTCTGGAACAGGGTCCACTCAGCCTCGTGAGGATAATTGAGGAGCTGTCTCAAGGAAATAGCGGCTCCTGTCTAGGAAACCAAAATTAATGGCATGGGGATTCCTTAGGCTGACAACATGACACCTTTTTTTTTTTTTTTTTTTTTTTTTTTTTTTTGCATGCCTTTTAACCCTTTGACGTGGTCATTTAAATTCCGCGGCCGCGGCTCCTGCGGTAATATATTCAGCCGGCCATTTAAATTTTGCTCGAAAATTATTTATTCATCATTGTTCTTAAATTCTATGAGATAGGAACATGAAACTTTCACTAAAATGATCTTAAAAGGTGGTTTTATAACCTTACCTTATAATATG